CCCTAAAAGCCTATTATTTGGGCCCTATATACCCTATATAGTCCCCTAACATCCCTACCCTTTAAAGGAACCCTATTATTTGGGTCCTTGAACCCTTGAGGTTAACCAAAAACCATTAACCCTTGCGCCTCCTCCTTCTTCTGATGTAAGCCGTGACCTTTACCGCCAAGCCTGAGGTTAGCGGCTTGGCTTAGGGTTTAGGGTTTAGGGTTTAGGGTTTAGGGGTATAATAGGAATATGGTAGGACCCTAATATAAACCTTATTATCCCTTATAGTCACTATTACAGGGTGGGGGGCCCACCTAATGTCTGTGGCTCAAGGGGGAGGTTTTTGGATCGAGGGCTGCGAAGATACACTTGCAGCATGTATCAATCTACACGGCTTGTAATAGAAGGTTCTTGTTTGGGTGGTGATGGTGGCGTGATGAAGATAACGACGGCAAACACAGTTCCAACCATGGAAAACTCTTTACGGAACTACACATGAGGCATGAGATCGGAATGTAGGCTGCCATACCAAGCCGTATACAGCAGGAATGGTGTCGCTCTATTTGCTTCTTGTAAAACTTGTCCAGCTTTATTGATCTTGATGTGTGAGGGTCTTACGTCCAGCTCACTTGAGGTCTGGCAATCAAAACAACACAACCCTCACCCTTCGATCCAAGCTACGAACCTACAAGAACCCCCAAAATTGTGTCCCTTGAACGAACTTTGCCGGGAAACACCTGCAACCCCACAAGGCCCTGCTGGAGTGATTTGAATACCGAATACAAGGGCTTTGCACCTAGTATTTTGGCATCTTTACCCGTTTGTAGGGTACAGGTTACTCTTCGTACAGCTCGGCTCTGTTTGATAAGGTATTTCATAGGGGAGCTTCTCGACACAGAGTGCCCCATCGAGACCCCAGATTTTACGGGGATGACAAAGGGGTACTTAGGCCTTGATAGAGAGCAGCTGGAGGGCCCAGGTAGATTATGGCCCGAGGATTCCTGGAAACAGTGCCTACAAACAAGGATCGAAATGCCGTAAATGAGCTCCTACTTCGATGAAACTAGCATTCTCCTACTTGTGATAGGTACTAACCCGCAGTTGTAACCTGGAAAGAGATGTGTGCCTCTGAACCTGAAACCTTCTTAATTGTAGGCCTTTAAACCCTTAGTCCGAAATCCTGAACCCTAAACCCGTAACTCTGCCTAGAATAACCTAGACCCAAACAAGGGCAAAGAAACTGGCATTCTATGTACAAAACGCTCTAAACCCTATACCTGATACCTTAAGCCCTAAAACTTACACCTCATACTAAGGCTGGAGCTGGACCAACCTGTCCATTAGGACGAAATGGTTGTTTGCCTCTGCGTGAGCCACCTCGGTCGGATTGTCTTTTAGGGTTTGGAGCTTATGATGATGTTTAATATGAGCCATTGTCTTAATTCCTTGAAGGGGGGTACAGAGGGGATTATATCGGGGACTACTATAGGGGTTGTTAAGGGGGATACTAGGAGTCTAGACAATGGCTCATAATATGGTGTTGGGATGACGGTTTAGGGTTTAGGTTCTAGGGGGTACAGTAGGGTTCAGGGTTTAGGGCTTAGGTTTTCGGGTCTCAAAAGCTTGGAAGGCATGTTGGTTCCTCGCCAACCACGAATTTTATTCATTTAAACACTCCTACAACTTATGACTCCTTCGGCGTTGTGCAAGACAGAAGAACCTTCCGCGATTAGACGCTTAGATCATCCTCCAAGCTCTGCGGGATTCTCCTATCAGGGACCGCAACAGTAGATGTCAAAGTTGTCTGTTCATGATTACTGTACGTAGCATATATTGCTCTAACCCAAGTACCCCTTGCCGAAGGTGCATACACCTCATTGAGTACCGGCGTTCAATACATGATGTAAGACAAACATAGACCCTAAATGCAATTAGCCCGAGAAGCCCGTTCTGCCTTGCAAGGCCCCAATTACCCTGCTGGAAGTGTCATGGGAGTTTGCCAAAACTCAAATTACTCTCACCCCAAAATCAACGGTTTAGGCCTTAATTGAAAGGAACCCCAAATGCCCATGGATCAGGGCAAGTTTCCGTATCAGAGCCTGTGGAGCCCTCTACACAGCACATGTAGCGGCGCCAACACTCTGTAAGCTTCCTAGCTGCTTTTGGTGCTACACTAGCACTAGATTCGCTATTGCCCTCAGTATTACTCTCATTATCTTTACTTTTAGTGCCATTTTCACTAGTACTGCTCAGGCAAAGCGCAGCAGTGTACTCGCGGTCGTCCTTTGCATTCATGTCGGCGCCCACCTTCGAGCATAGAAGCAGGAAAGTGGCCGCTCTTGGAAGATTGTGGCGCGGTGAGCCACATGGCAGGGAAGAGGTGACATGCTTTCATCAGGGTTTTGCTGCACGGTATCAGCGCAGGAATTGGAGTTGCATTTTAATTTTGAAATGCTGGTCCTTTCTTTGCCCTTCCTTCTCCCTGCTCCCCAATCTTTTTCGGTAGATACTGATGACCCCCAATGTCGTGAATGGGGATGGGTCCCATCTTGGAGGTCGCGGGAACAAGGACACCTGCACCTCGAGGTGTGGAAGGGTGCCCTTCTTCAGAAGGATGCCCAAATAACGCTCGCGAGAAGCCCGCAAGGGATGACAAGTTTTAAGGACACCCACAGGTTATGGTCAAATAGCTCGAACGAATGGATACGCTTCACAGGTGTGCCAGTAGGTCTGAGATAGAAAGTGAAATGCAAAACTTGAGCCCTGAGCACAGGGGACTGAATCACTATCCCTGGCCCTCGAACGAGAGAAGCAACCTACTACATGGGCCTAAATAACTACCAATATCGTTTTGAGGTCCATTTGAGGTACCATAGACCATAATTATATAAGGAATATGGAACCAAAATATTAGTAACTACTCCCTAAACCCTTAACCCCATTATTTAGAACCCTATGTTAATATCCCAGCCCAGAATCATGACCTCTGAACTGTAAACAGGCCCCTCTCAAACTCAAAGCCCAACTGTTGCAGCCGCAATCAGACATCTAATTCTGAGAAACCCAGCCACGCGGTTTAGGGTTTAGTGACATGTAGGGTTCTACCAAGGACCAACATCGTCAGTTCAGGGCTTTAGTTGTGCTTGTTATCTGTAAGGCGCTCCTGATTTCGCGCACCAGACCAACTGGTCGACGTTACTTCTGCGCACGCAGGAAAATGTGCTGGGCCTGGTGGTATAGGATTTGAGCCATAGTCTAGACTCCCAGTATCTCCCTTAACAAGCCCTACAATATCCCCCATAAGAGTTTAGACTATAGCTCATTTGGGGTTTGGGGTGGGAGGATGCCAAGGCGCGGGTTTGGGCTAACCTCCAGCTTTTCGAAAACATGTTGTGAGCCAAAGCAGCTTATAATTCCTGTGTTCATTTCCTTCTCCATGCTCTTGTGCGTTTGATTCTCCATCGTTGGGACATTTTGGCTACGTAGTATGCTTACTGGACATGAGTGCCTATGATGGACTAGACTAAACTACCAAAGGGACCTATTGGTCCACCCTAAGTGATAGTCGTAGCTTGGTAAGCCATGTCAAACCAACAATGTGTATGAACACATCGACCCTGTCATTCTCCATCCCATGAAAGCTTCTTGTGTTATTGCGAGTCCTACATGATGGTCTGCTTCAAACGCGCAGATGCCCTGAGAATTTTTGGCATCATGAGTGGCTTCTGTGTCAACCTAGACTCGTGATGGCTACAGAACTCCCGCAATGCCCTAGAGTCCCCAAGAGTCCAAGGACCCAAATCATAGGGTATTAGGGCCCGAAAACTATGATATGAATTGTATTTGGGCCCTAAAACCCTGTTATTCGTGTCCGTGGACCCTTAGGGAGTGACATGTAAGCGGAAAAGGACCTCCAAAAGCAGCATCGTGGTTTTCATGTTGCCGCCGGCAGCCTCGGAGTAGGCCGGGATATCCCTAACTGGGACCAATGGGGTTTAGGGTTGGGTCCGAGGACCCAATGAATAGGCTTTAGGGCCCAAATATCATTAACATCACAGTATTGGGCCCTAACACCCAATTATTTGAGCTCATTTGGGTCCCTGAACCCTTAGGGGTAGGGTTCAGGGTTTAGTCGAATTTTGAAAGTATAGGTTAGAGGTAGGAGCGCTGGGAAAACTTGGGCCATGACTTCTACCTAAACCCCCAAAGTATGTAAAATACTAGCCCTAAACCCACAATAATAGCCATAAAGGCCATCATTTTACATACTTTGGGGGCCCAGGTAGTACGTATAGCCCCACTGCTAACTACATACACCTGATGATCCAAAAAGGCGATATGGCGCGGAGCTTACAGCAGCTTGGGATTTTCTTTTCTTCAAGATAACCGCGATCCGAAGAAACAACAAAAAGGTTTCAGACTGACAGCTTTGAGGAGGGCGCTGTGTATTTAGGGTTAGGTTCGGGTTTTGGGGCTGACCATTCAAGGTTGGACGTTATTAAGTTGAGTTCCCTGTCTGAAGCCCAGAACACTAAGGGTGCATGTACCCAATAATTAAGTACTTGGGTTTTGGGGAATAATGATTTTAGTACAGGTTTGCGCAAGTATATAATTATCAGGTACTTGGACCCTTAGGGAAAGCTTATGAATCCTGAGCCGCTGAACTTGCGGCTACTGCAGAGGGCAGAATCGAGAGAGGCGTATGGGATAGAGCAAACATGGCGCACACCTCATAGTACGAACCGCAGATACTCTAAACGTCAATGCCTGGATGCCAAGCTTTTAAAGGCAAACTTAAGCGCACCCTACACCGTAAACCATAAACCCCATCGCCACTGCAACACGCCGAGGCCCCATCCGCTACGTGAATCGGCGTCTTCTTCTTGATATCCTTGATGTTGACATCCGCACCTTGTCTGAAGACAGTGAAGAAGTGAAGATACATGGTAGTTTCCATCAACAGCGGGCCCCAACAAAGAACTGCATTTTCTGGATGATAATCCTTACTCTGGGGACCCCCGAAAATGATGCCCCCAATTTCTGGAACCCACCTCATAGGATCGTGGCCCAATGAAATCAGGGGACCTCGATGTATCATTCAGTGGACTGCCGTAAACGTGTAAAAGGACCCATCTACAGGGGTTTGCATGAAATGGGGCCCTACTCAACGTAGGTCCTAATCTACCCACTACACTCCTTACCGTAGGGACCCCTCAAGAAACCCTGATGTTCAGAACAAATCCTACAAGGCCCCACCCACTCTAGGCGTCGGACGGAAGAATCCGGTGTTATTATTTGGGTCCTTGGACCCTTAAACCCTAAACCCTAAACCGTATATATTCAAAAAAAACCCTTTGAAGGGACCCTATTATTTGGGGAATGGATGACAGCCCACCCTCCTAAAACCCTAAATTGCGCGACCTGCAGGATGCCTTCTTTCCCAGAGGGTCCCAGTACCCAATAATTAGGTCCTTTTTAAGGGGATATATAGGGTTTAGGGTTTAAGGTTTAGGGTTTAGGGTCCATGTACCCAATAATTAGGTTCTTGGGCTTTGGGTAATAGTATTTATGGTATAGGTTTTGGGGTAAGTATATGATTATTAGGTACTTGGACCCTTGGGGTTTTCCCTGTCTCCATAGCTGGGAAGGGCACCCCATTCCAGAAGGCGACAGACGCCATCGACATCGTCGTTGGCGGCCGCCACATGCAAAGCAGTCCTGCACGGATTTGTGAATGCGCACACTGAGACCTCAAGGTTTCAGGATGCCCTGTTCCGGGCTCAAGTGCGGGAAGAACAAAAGCCTTTCCCGTTGTTGTTTTGATTTAAGGGCTTTGGAGAAGACGAAATGAGCAAATGCTTGAGAATTTATCATGCAGAAAGAGCGCTTGGGATGAGTATAGCGCAGCCAACTTTCTTCAGCAAGCATGGGCATTGACAATCCCTAAGACACTTGCAGAAGGGGAGGAGGTGCATTCAGAGGAGACCACTCTAAAAGTCGCGAAAGCGAGCGGTAATGATGGCGTTGGTGGAAGGACGATGCCTGTGGCTGCAGCTGCTGTTCCTCCACCACCTCCTCTCCTCCTATTTGTGCTGCAGCTGCTGCTGCCACTGCCGCTCGTAGCACCACCAATACCGCCACCCCAGCACCTGATAGCGGGGTGTCCTGTGTGGGCTTTGGAACCAACAAGCCGACAATGCAGGTGAATAGAATCTCAGATTTGTCAGCAGCCCCCTGAGCGGCAACCACTGCAGAGCTCTCGAACTAATTGCTTGGCTGGAAAAGTCCTTCCCTGTGCATCTGCGGAGTTGACCTTGACACCGTAGGTGTGCAGGAACTCCATGAGATCGTAACCTTGACATGCTAGACACAAGAAGTTGCCTAAATTGGGAGGCCTATCCAGGAACCTGCGCAAACAGTCGGAACCCATCTACAACAACCTGTCCTCACAAATTCCACTTGAAGATAACGATAACACGTCTGTCGATACAAATATCAGACACACTTCATAGCTGCAGCAACCCATCCATTCTAGCTGAGAAATGCTGCGGAAAGGTTGTCTCGCCTTCTTAGGTGGAGGCGGCTCAGTTAGGTCTTAAAGTTGGCAGCGACTTCCAAACACAGAAGTGAAAGTCTGCATGCAGACACAGCCATCGCAGGCCTTCTTGGCTAAATCAGAATCAGGGTCACCGATCTGTAATGTCAATCCACCAATTTCAGCCTTGTCTTGACTGAGAATTGGACGTTTGTTCTTTGTCACGATGTTGAAGGCCGTCTCCCCCTGCTCTGCACAGGGCAGATATATATATATATATATATACAGATATTTCTTTCTCTCTCTCTCTCTCTCTCTCTGTGCACGATGCAAAGCTCCGCAAGCCCATACATCTCTCTATATTCCCATATGAGCTTTAGTCTAAACTCCTAGTATCCCCCTTCCCCCAAAGTAGTCCCCTACATAATACCCTATATCACCCCCCTTAAGGATTTTAGAGTATAGCTCATATAACTCCGATAATTAACCTCTAAAGCTTCATCAGAGCAGTTCTCCGTGCACATGGCTATGTGATGGTCAGTCTGGCCATGAACTTGGAAGACAGCCAATAGGGTTTGGGGTTTAGGGTTTAGGGTCCAAATTATACAATTACATTCTGTGCTCCCACCATCCTATGTAGGGAGCCCTGATATAGGGAACCCAAAGTATATGGTTCTTCTATAGTGGACCCCTAGGGCTAGGGTTGAGGGTAGAGAATCCTGAACGAGACACTGGCCTTATTGGTCTTAGCGGACAAGTTAGCTCCGCGGCGATAGCCTCAGGTTCAACGTTTGTGGGCTTTTGGTTCAGGGTTTGGGGTTTAGAGTTTGCAGGGTATGGAGGGATTCCCAAAATTATCGATACGTTGTTGGGGTCCTTGTAATCGGGATCATAGTATTTTGTGGTCCATATTGGGGTCTCCATATCTCGGGAAACTACCATATAGGGTTCACCCGTGACTCCGCTTTTCGTGTTTGCAAAGATTATGCCAAGTGACTATGCTGGCAACATCGGGGTTGCAAGAACATGGAATTGCAGGCAAGATTCAAGGTGTTTGCGCATATGTCTACGATGATGGCATGTGCGCAATCATTTGCTGAATTCAACTGCGGTCTTCCGAGGACGCCAAAGTGGCACCCTGGCCGTTGAGAAACCGTCAAGAGACCTCTGTAGAAAAAATGCCATACTGACAAGCATAAATGAGGCAGTGAATTATCATCCGGTGGGACGTCACACCTATCATGCACGCTTGCTAGCATGCTAGAAGACGGCATCGTACGCCGATAAGCGCCCAAAGCCACATCGCGCAGGTAAGCCAGCTATGCCGTAATGAACATGCTAGGACGCCCTTTCAGCCCGACTGACAGATACACGGTTCTTTCAGGACTGTTGACTCGAGATTGATAGCTTGCAGCCTAAACACAACAGCGTACATCCTGGCTGACAAGCTACAACCCTGGATACAACATCAACTGAGGGAGCGTTCTCAAACGATACCATTGTGGTTACGACGTCCCTACACCTGCTATTGTGCCGTGATCTTCTTCAATGTGCTTGGGCGCACGCTTCGACATTTTCAGGTCAATGCATGCAGGCCTTCTGTAATGTGGGTCGCTTTTGGGCCCTAACAACATCAGAATCATTCCCTTAGAATCGATTTCAGAGCACTCAGAACTGTGGGAGCCATGGTGAGGACGCATATCCTTGAATATTTCTGCCCCCGAGTTGCTTGGGGAGAAGCCCTAAGGTCCAACATTACGCTCCAAACCACCGAGCCAGCTTTCTAACTAGCTGCGTCATCAACCCCAGAGCATCCGAGTACTCAATAGTTAGGTACTTAGCCACGCCGTTCAAGGTTTAGGGTATTCTAATACAGGTTCTGGGTAAGCATGTAACTATTAGGTACTTGGACCCTTAGGGAACTTTCCCAACACAAAAGCCGAAGTCTCGAAACTTCCAGATCGCTGAACGTACTTTTCCTGATAAACAGACCTCCGAAATGCACCTTGCACCGTACTCATCCCTTGAAAGAAGACGGACTCATCAGATTCCGACATTCCACCTTCCTTCTATACTTTGTTTCTTAGCCCTGCGCCTCAAGGCCTGGCCCTAATTCTGAATCGTACCCAATATGGGGTTTAGGGCCCTATAATGGAGAATCAAATGGAAAAGAAAAAGGAAAATGAAATGGAAACTGGGGTTATATTGGGGATAGTCTGTAAACCTTGATCCTGAGGCCCAATGTAGCCCTAAGCGTCCAGTGTACAGCCATCATAGACTTTCCAGTCATTACAATAGTTAGCGTTGCTTAGGTTGGGGGAGCGTAAAGTACGTGTATACTTTGGACCCTTAGGGTAGTGGACATCTAGAATTCCCGACTGTTGCTATGATCTATAGACTCAGAGCATTTGGCAGGCAAGACACAGAGCTTTGCTAAGCCCATGTTTCCAGTATGACAGGCCTCGTGAGAACAGCTTTAGTGGATGAGAAGCTATGAGGTTTCAGGGCTTGAGGTGTACAGCTGATGGTCTATCTAAGCCCGGATGTCCGTTTTGGGGGGGACCTGTCCTGTCAGAGTTGCTTTCTGCAGGGTAGGTCCACAAAAACAGTAGCACATCCAGGGCCAGGTAGGGTTTGGGGTGTAGGATGTAGCGCTGTCAGATTGCACGTGAAGTTGCGCGACTCAAGCTAGGGCGGTGCAGCGTGGTCTGATGGGCTACAGTAGGGGCTTGGAAATACCTGGGGCTCCGTAGCTCTCTTTGTCGCACGACTGGGGTTACAACGGACCACCTACCCCAAGGCTCTTAGATCCTCATGGTAGGATGTAGGATCACATACCCCTAGCCCGAAAGCCCCAATCTCCCCCCCCACAGAGTCCAGACTGGTCCGACGTAAATTTCCCATTTCCTGCACCACCCATCGCAGCCTTTCAGCCTAACAGCATTCCCCTCCACTCATAACACCCCCTGAACACAGGTATCACCAAATAGTACCATCATATAATGAGAGGGATATGTATAATTCGGGCGTGGGGAGGTTCTCCAAGGGGCCAAGTACCTAAAAATCATATACTTGCGCAAAAGCTGCACTAAAATCAGTACGCAAGTGCCTAATTATTGGGTACATGGCCCCTAAACCCTAAACCCCAAACCCTATATATACCCCTATATACCCTTATAGATCCCTATTATATATCCCCTTGAAAGGGAACCTAATTATTGGGTACATGGCCCCTTTTGGGTTTGTTAGTACTTAATGTTGTCAAGGCTCTTCGACATCCCAAATGCCTACCGTGGGCTCTGCCAACCTTGATTATGCGAGGCAAAGCTACCCCTTGCCCAGGGTGTGGGCTGTCTATGAGGGTTTAGGATTTATGTTTGGGGCTTGTAGTTTATAAGGCCTACTAAGAACTAAGACGCTTCAAAACCCCCAACGCAGCCAGATGCGCACTTCAGACCTGAATCCAAAGCCCTGAGACACCCAAAGAGACAAAAGATGGCAGTTTGTTTCTTATGAACTGATGGTCTCCCCAAGTGGACATCCCATCTACACACCTTCCAATGTTCTTAACCAACCGTGAACAGACCTGTCAAAAAGACCTGCTCTCATGTGGCCATCGTGAAGGAAGCAGAACTAGCAGAAACTTTATCACATCTTTCTTTTCGTAAGCTCCCAATATACAAGGGCCCCCTAATTTGGGGAAACTCCATGAACCCTAAGCCCTAAACCCTTATAACTAACCCCCTTGTAAGAATCCGCGCATACTCGAGCAAGGTCTGCTCTGTCAACACATCTCTGGCGTCAATCTCTGTCGTCTCCTTAACACACCAACAAATTACTGGGTTGCTGTTAAGGAACTTAAATTAGGTTGCCATAATGGGTATATATAGTAAATAATACGGTTTCCCCGATATAGTAACTTAATTTAAGTTCCTTAACAGCAACCCAGATTATTGACTCTCTGGAGCTCTTGTTTGTTGGGGTGTTGAGCTTAAGGGTCGGGGGTTTGGGGTGTTCAGGTTTAGCGTCCACGCATTGCAAACAGGTCCAAGGACGACGTGGCGAGATCAGCCTCCATCTACTTCACCAAATGGGCAAGCTGTGATTACGTGGAATTTGATCAAACTTGCCTTTTGTCATTTGATCAGTGTTCATCACCTCTTCATCCCCATCAACACATTACATGAAGGCACATGTACAACCTCCAGTTCGCCAGGGCAATGTCAGCAAATCACCATGCAGGTGTGAATCTATCAACAGAATGCTACCAAACTTGCAGCGGGACCAGGGTATGTAAGGCGTTTATGAGGTTCTCTACCCCCTGCCATGGTCCTAGATACTACAACCGTCCGTGGTTCTGTTCATAAGCAAGGGCTGTGCCAGTGTAGGCAATTCCTTGAAGTTGAAACTCCTGGGCGGCCTTAGGATGCAGGTGGCCTGCCTCCTTTGTTCCAGAACCTCAACCCTGAACACTAAACTCGAAACACTGAAACCTAAATCCAGACTAAACCCTAAACCCTAAACCCTGAATCCAGACTGAACACTAAACCCTTGCCTCTAACTCCTTGCAACCCGGAGCCGCCTTATCAAGGGAGTCTAAGTGACTATCCAATAGCAACCACAGCAAGCGACATGGCACCTTTGAAAGAGGAGCTAAAAAGTAAGCCTAGGGCCTCAGGTCCAGAAAGTATACCTACAGTGGGCCCCAAAGTGTATAGAAATATCCTACATTGGGTTATTTGGAGCCTTAGGGTAAGGTCTAGTGCCCCCACAAGCCAAAGCGTCATACTACCCGAAATGCGAGGGTTTAGAGTTTGATCAACCCTGAGCAGCCTTTTTGATCCTCCTTCAGCGGTCGGAACTGTTGTCCACTTCGAGAGTGCCGCGCGCTCCGGGTGTCGCGTCTTCGGCGACGGGGTAGCCAGCACACTGGTCCTCCCCCTTAGAATGACTGAGCGACTTACTGCTGCTTAAGGGGGGGCCCGACTATAAAGTCCCCCCATATACATACCCCTAGTAGACTTCTTTCCCCTTAAGCACCAGTAAGAACAGCAGTGTTGAGGGTTAAGGCCAGACGCAACCAGATATAAACTTGGGGGATCCCTAGACCTGATCTGGGATGCCGGGTAGACACTTGACTTGAGCAAAAGTCTAAACTCAATAAACGCTATAATACCCCCCTATATAATCCCCTATATAGCCTCTTTGCGGAGTTTTAAACCATAGCTCACTTAATCCTAAGTATCACAAGGGTTGCTTACAACCTTGGAAGCATAGCTGAGGGATTGGAAGGCTTTTACAAGACATGGCTCGCCTCTTGTCAATCAAAAGAGAACCCATGCTGTAAGCATTCGAACCAGCTCACTAACTATCTAGGTCGAACTTTTTTTAATTCACAGGCGGAAGGGAAGGAACAAGAAGCTAGAACCGTAACCACTTGACTCAAGCACCCCTGCGGCCCAAAACATCAACTGGATGGGACTCAGACGACTCCCAAAACTGTTTACAAACAGGGCCGCATACAACACAATAAGGGAACATCATACATTCTCCCAACTTAGTGCGAATTAGAAGGGAACAAGGGAAGAGAATAACTATGTAAGTGTAGGGGGTACAGAATTCCTACTAACCTCCAGGAAGCCAAGGTGACACCTGGTCAAACTAGACCGTGGGAGCACACCCCTAAACCCTAAACCCCCTAAACCCTAAACCCCAAACCCTAAACCCCCAAACCCCCAAACCCTAAACCCTAAACCCCCAACCCGTAAACCCTAAACCCTAAAAAGTGTGGGAACAAGGCTGAGACCGGCACTTGAGGATCCAGAAGCAGCATCTCCTGGGTTCAGGGATTAGAGTTGAGGGTTTAGGGTTTGGGGACTAGGGACTAGGGTTTAGGGATTAGTGATTAGGGTTTAGGGTTTGGGGTTTATAGGGTTTGGGGACTAGGGTTTGGGGACTAGGGTTTTAGGGATTAGGGTTTGGGGTTTAGGGTTGGGGCTTTCTTCATAAGCAGGCATATGGAAGGTTTCAAGTCAAGAAACAAACGTCGCGCAAAAGACCTGAACGGACTATACCCTACCCTTTTTCGGGAAACTCCCGGGTACATTTCGAGGGTGAGGGTGCCTAAACTTGATAAACTCTAAGCCTTAAAGCCCAGGGTTGAAACTTTAGGGTTTATAGGGGTTGGGATTTAGGATTTGAAGTGTAGGGCCGGTGGCTCAAACTGCTGATGGACTGAAACCTGCATTATGTTAGGCATCGGGAACCCCACATAGTCTGGATCCCCTTGAGAACATGTGTACTATGTTCTAAACTCCTTCCAAGGTCATATAGGGGATTATACTTAGTAAGTAGGGACTACTCGAGGGGCTATTAAAGGGGATACCAGGAGTTTGGACAATAGCTCATGCAGGATTTCCCGGATTTACTGTATCGGCAAGTGAGCATTGCAGTTTTGAACATGCTCTACGCAACCCCATAGAAACCTGATTTCCATGTCATTTTTTATCTGATTCTCCATTATTACTGCAACGTCGTTAAACCCTAACTCCTGAACCCTAAGCCCCCCCAAATTCCTGAACCCTAAACCCTATACCAACGCGGTGGGCCCTGAATGATCAATATACCCTGCTTCGGATGCAGGCGCCGCACATCCCTGCCCAATGCAACGCCCTTCTAGTTCGGGGTCCTTTCCTAACCCTAAGCCTCAACAAAGCCGAATGTAGGTAATTTCTAGACATATTGGGGCCCAATGTAAGAATAATTTACGGACTTAGAGCGCTAGTCTAGGGCACTAACAAAACACTGTAAACTCTTCAGGGTTCAGGGTTCAGGGAGGCTCACTAGGAACCCTTCAGGCTCAAAGAAGATACTATGTAGATGCTTGCGCACTTTGGGTTATAAGTTGTTCAACCCAAAGGCTTCATAGAAGGGTTATGGGATCCTACACTACCCCCTACCCCCCTCTCCCCCAAAATACCCAAAATAAAACCTCGTTAGACTCCGTGACCAGAGAAATGGTAGTATCCATGAATAGGGCGCCCCGACATAGACCCCAACATGCTCTGAGCCTTGACACTCTTGCAGCTTGAAAGCCGTGATTTGTCAGGTTCCAAAAATCCGGGGTCGCTTTTTGGTGTGTGTTGGGGGGTCCCCATAATAAGGAAAATCGTATTTTGGGGTGTGTATACCATTTCTCTTACATTTTCTCCAAAACGCTGCTCTGTAGGCATCAGTCACCAACTGCCCCGCAATCTTGCAGCCACTCGCGGAGGCTCAAACTATCTCGAAAACTCTGCTGGGAAGTCAAGCAAAAATATGAACGCTACGCATGCAATTCCTTTTCAGAGAGGACATCAGACATGAAAACAGGCCAGGGGTCGGTGCCGAATTGCGTCACTGGAGGCATCTTTTGCGGCCAGTAGTTTAAGGAGGATGCCAGTGTGAGCACGGACGGCACCTTTCGCGGAACTTCTGTGGGTCTGGGTTATCGGCTAAGTGTTTAGGGTCTGGGGCTGAAAGGGCTCAGTGGTTAGAACTCCTGGCGTAGTGTTCTGGTTGAGTGGTTCAGGGCTTCAGGGATTAGGTTCGTTCTGAGGGCCCTGAGCCCAAACCATCAGTAAAGTGCTAAAAAGTCGAAGTCTCTGAGCCCTTATGCCGAAACTAAACTGAATGGCTCTGCTTGCAGCCTTGCGATTCCACTCGGATACGAGACGCATCGGAATCCCAGCGCGTACAAAGCAAAGTGCCTATACTACTCTTCACCCTAAACTCTGAAACACATGCTTTAAAAAGAAAGAACATGATAGCTGAAGCGGTGCTTATCTTGCTTAAGGCCTATATGCTTCGTTGAGGCATTGGGTCTCTTTGGCTGCCTGCCAAGTCAGAAGCCGGACCCAGGGTAATCCAAACCTTTTTTGCACAAGTGAACATACCAAAACATCAGATACAAAACCCGTTTTTTTGGCATATAGGTTACTCTAGGTACCCTAAACCAGAAGCCCTACACCCTAAACCCTAAACCTAAAACCGTAAACCATTAGGGCTACAGAGTTACCTTAGGTATGTCCTGACACCGTCAGCTTCTAAACCCTAAACCCTAAAACCCTAACCAAGGGCACCAAGAAAGTGCGAACCACGAAGGTGTCCATGAGCACCCCAAATGCCATCACAAAGCCAATCCTGGGTTTAGGGTTCAGGGTTTCGGGTTCAGGGCTTAGGGTTAAGGGTTTAGGGTTCAGGGTTTAGGGTTCAGGGTTCAAGGTTTAGGGTTTACGGTTCAGGGTTAGGGTTCAGGGTTTAGGGTTCAGGGTTCAGGGTTTAGGGTTCAGGGTTTAGGGTGCAGGGTTGGGGGTTCAGGGTTTAGGGTTCAGGGTTTAGGGTTCAGGGTTTAGGGTTCAGGGTTTAGGGTTCAGGGTTTAGGGTTCAGGGTTTAGGGTTTAGGGCTCCTGCGACATTGCCGTGTCAAGGGAACGGTTCCCTTGAGAAAGGATGTCCTCCTCTATGGTATAGTAGTTTCCAATCTCTATGCCCCTGTAAACCCCTGATCCCGGTATATCCCTAGACCCTAAAGATCCCTACATATAATCCATGTCTCAATATATCCCTGTATATCCCTAAACCCTATAGATCCCTACACGTTAGCCCCTCTTCAATGCATCCCCGGAGGCAGGGAAAGGAGCCTTGAAGTGAATAGGCCTTGCACCCCACCTTCCCAGACAGGGACCCCTCCATCTGGGTCCAGCTTTTTCTGATTGACTCCTTTTCCCGTCTGATGAATCCAGCCGGTTTAGGGTTCAGGGGAAGTGAGTCTTTCAAT